CCCGGCCCTGGTTCCCATACCCTTGCCCACCACTTCCATAGCCTCTGCTTCCTCCAGAGTAACCAGGGCCGCCTCCTCCATAACCACCATCATTACCAAATCCATTATAGCCATCCCCACTTCCGCCGTATCCACCACCACCATGGCTGCCACCAAAGCCACCAGGACCACTGAAGTTTCCTCCACGACCAAAGTTGTCATTACCACCAAAACCACCTCCTCAACCACCACCGAAGTTTCCAGAACCACTTCGACCTCTAGGGCTGGAGGAAGCACTAGCCATTTCTTGTTTGGACAGGGCTTTCCTTACTTCACAGTTGTGGCCATTCACAGTATGGTATTTCTGAATGACAATCTTATCCACAGAGTCATGATCATCAAACGTCACAAAAGCAAAGCCCCTCTTCTTGCCACTGCCACGGTCAGTCATGATTTCAATCACTTCGATTTTACCATACTGTTCAAAATAATCTCTTAGGTGATGTTCTTCAGTGTCTTCTTTAATGCCACCAACAAATATCTTTTTCACAGTTAAGTGGGCACCCGGTCTTTGAGAATCTTCTCTTGAGACAGCCCTCTTTGGTTCCACAACTCTTCCATCCACCTTGTGTGGCCTTGCATTCATGGCTGCATCTACCTCCTCCACAGTGGCGTACGTGACAAACCTAAAGCCCCTGGAGCGCTTGGTGTTTGGATCTCGCATTACCACGCAGTCTGTGAGCGTTCCCCATTGCTCAAAATGGCTCCTCAGGCTCTCATCAGTTGTTTCAAAGCTCAACCCTCCAATAAAGAGTTTCCGCAGTTGTTCCGGCTCTTTGGGAGACTCGGACTTAGACATGACGGCAGTGAGAAGAGAGAGTTCAACGATGCTTCCCCGGCGGCGTCCACAGGCAGAAAGCGAGGGACTTACTTTTGAAGGGAGGAAGATGTCCATCCTATAGAGGAGAACAGAATATCAACAGTTAACAGAGTGACTCCTTTTAAACTTTTGTGATGGTTCATTTCAGGTGTCAAGTCGACTTGGCTAAGAGATACGCAGATTACTGCTAAAGCATTTCTGAGTGTATCTATGAATGTTTCCAGAAGAAACTGGCATTTGAATTGGTAAACTGAGTAAGGAGGATCCATCCTCACCCATGTGGGCAGGAGCCATCCAATCTTACAGTTCTGGAGATCAGAAGATCACAGGCTGGCAGGGCTGCACTCCTTCTGGGAGCTCTAGGGAAAACATTGTTTTCTTAGCATTTCAAGTTTCACACTGGGTCTTCTCGAGGTCCTTGGCTCATGCCCTCTTCCCTCATCTTCAAGCCAGCAATGGCCAGTTGAGCAAGGTACCCATCTATGGGAGAACAACATGGCAACAGTCAACACAGAGTGATTCTTGTAATAATAAGAGTAATGTGGCCTAACCTGATGGCAGAGTCAGTAGCAAACTAAACTGTAGTGCTGGAAACTAGATGGGGGTTTGGGTCCCTGGGTCAATTTGGAAACATGCCAGGCATGTATGCATGTGTCCAATATCCTGACAAGATGGAGGGCTGAGGAAAGGGAATCACTGAGAAGTACCCTGTCAAAGGTGCTTTTCTCTCTCCCTCACCTTTCTCATGTGCATGCATGTGCACTCTATCATGAATAAAATAAATAATATAACTTTTATTTGTTTTTAAAAGTTTATTTATTTTATTGCCAGAGGGCATGAGAGAGAGAGAGAACATTTTTTCAGTGGTGTTTGGTCATGCCACAATCTTTTTTTTTTTTTAGAATTATTTTATTTAACTTT